GAGGTGGCTCCGTGGGGCTGCGAGTGGTCCGGGAGAGCTACGGACTGAGCCCTCGGCCCCTTGCCTGAGTGGCGTTGGCGGGGGCTCGCACCGCGGACACCTCCGGTTCGGCCGCGTCCGCGTCGCGCCCGGGCGGTGACAGCCGCTTTCCCGGCATCTCTGAGGCCGCTCTTCGTCCCCCAAGCACTTATCCCCCCATTCCACGGTACCAGCGCTGACAGTTTCAAGAGCGGTCAGCTCCCGACTCCGCCTCCCCCGCACTTATCCACATTTCCGCCGCTGGAGGGGGCGAGTGCTGCGGACCGCGCTCCCGTCCCGGGGAGAGCTTGGCGGCGGCGGTCAGCCCGGCCGATCCGCAGCGCGGGTCGCCCAAACTTGCCCACCAAGGCGAGCGCCTCAGCCCTGTGGCCGTCTCCGCTGCTTTGAGTCTCAGGAAATCGAAGGGAGGGAGGAAGCGGCAGAGGGGAGTCATATCAGGCTAGAAACCGGCGGGTGGCCGGCACCCGGGTTCGCCAAGGTCTTCGCGTCGCCATGTGGCGGTGACTTCGCGGTGGAGGTCACGAGCATTGTCGCAGCCGTGGTTCTGGGATTCTGTGGACCCTGAGCGCCCGCGGCGTGGTGGCGTCGGGCCGCGAGCTCCGAGCAGGCGAAGGGGCGAGTGGCGCGTGGCCACAGCCAAGCAGTGCCGAGTGCGCTGTGGGCGGACGGCTCTCCCCGCGCCAGCCGCCCCCTCGCGGCACCCGCTTCCTCCCAGCGCTCGGTCTGTCAGAAGACGCGGTGTGTCTACTTGGTGGGACTCCACGGTCCCCGCCCCGGGGCCGGGTGAAGGGGTCTCGGCGTCCGCGGTCCCCACGACCTCATCCCGCGGCCTAGGCGGGCGCGGAGGGCAGGCACAGAGCCCGGAGCGCTGCAGAGCTCGGCGGAGCCCTGCGCTCCCCCGGCCTGGCAGCCAAGCTCAGCTGCTGCCAGTTCGGCGCTAGAGGGGGTTAGTCGACAACAAAAATTCCTGCACGGCTAGCAGGTGGAGATGGATAATCAGACAGGAGCCCAAAGGAAGGAGGAATGCTGTCTGGCTAAACTTCCGCGTTTGTTAAGGGCGCGCCAAGGAAACCTTTTCGCTGGGGTCGGGATTTCTATAATACTGTATTCGTTATTATTATCAACATCATTTTCTTTCTTGAAGGGACTTAGGTTATCACAGTTGAGTCAGGATGAAAAATCCACCTCAAAACTCATCAGAATGTTTTGAAGAAATGTTGATGGCAACGGAGAAAAGTGGACCAAGAAGAGACAGTCGCCGTATTTTAAAGAATAGACGATGTTTTCCAGGTGGGCAGAGGGCACAGGAGGGAAATGGCACCGTGGCAGGGGTTGGGAGAGCCATAGATGAAGGAGCAGTCAGCGTTTGACGCCTACAGAGTTCTGGAAGTGAAAGGACCCTCCCATTCGATGCCTTTCAGCACTGCAATGTTTGTGTCACGTGCCACAGTTGAAGGGGTTTCACTTAGTACCTTACAGTCAATTGGAAGGAAAGCGAGAAGGAGAGCAAGAGATGCCCCACATTTAAAATTCTGCTGCGTGGAGAAAAATGTGAACTGCAAGTGATTTCGGGAATGCGAGGTTTCCGATTGGTGACTGTACTTTCACTCTCATTACAGATTCATACAGTGCTTCTCTTAAAGCTGTCCA